GCGTTTCCTTTGGGTTGCTAAGACAACCCTGGCAGACAGCAAGTGTGTGGAGAGCCACAGAATAGCTGGAGCTTAAGGCTGACGGCAAAAAAGCAAAGGAGAGGGGGCCCAGGCCCCAGGAAGCCCCCCAACTTCCAGCCAGCACGGGACGGACAAGGGGTCTTGGCAGTGAGGTGGGAGGTGGGCCTGGAGCAGGGGAGCCTAGGAGAGACCCCTAGGAGCCCTGAGGTTGGGGGGACAGGCAGGGAGGTGGGGACAGCAGCCGCCTCAGTACTTGGGGACCTTGCTGTAGTCTTCAGAATGGACACGCCGGCATAGGAACATGGATAGGAACATCCCCAGGAGCTGGGAGGGAGAGGGAGACAGTCAGAGGCGGGACCCCGGAGGAGCATCCCGCAGTCAGGGTCAGCACACAGGGCCTGACCTGCACAAAGCTGATCCTCAGTTAGAGCCTCAGGACCAAGCTGTGACTCAGGTGGCAGGGGGCCCTGCGAGGGGCAGGGGTCAGGCCAGGCTTACCACGGGGCCTATAGAAGCTGATGGGCCTCAGCCCACCCCTCCCTCCACCCCGGATGTCTGCAGAGCAGGGCCAGTCTTGGGAGGGGGCAGCCTGGGGGCGGGTGTTGGAAGGGAGGGGACCCAGACCTCGATGACAGCGACGCCCACACACACGCCGAGGATGACGCCCAGGTTCTCCTGCAGCCAGCCCTGCACCTTCTCCATGCAGCCCTATGAGCAGAGAACACAGCCATGTCACCCCACGATGGGCCGCATCACCCCGACATGCAGGATCACCGGGGTCAGGGGCCACCCTCAGCCCAGTGGAGCGGGGTCTGGGTGGTCCTTGAATGGACCCACTGATGAACACAAAGATGAAGGTGCACATGACAAGCAGAGGAATCAAAGGAAGGCAGGAACAGCTCTGCGAAGAAAGGTCGATGTAGCAATGGCCCAGGTGAAGCCGGGGGCCGGAGGGTCTGAACCCACCGTGCCCCAAACCACCCCCCCAACAACCACCCACGCACCTCCTGGTACACCGGCCAGTCAAAGGGGTTGTTGCCGCTCTGGGTCCTGTTGCCAAAGGGCGCCTCGCAGAAGCCCTTCTGCGGCAACACATGGGCATCCTCCTCATCACTCTTCTTGCAGGAACAGGGGAAGGTGATGTTGGTGCGATTCATGAGCTCGGGGTTTTCTGTCCAGTTGAAGAAGCTGACCCAGCCGCAGCACTTCACCTGGGCGGGGGACGGGACAGGGTGCTCAAGCCCACCGCCCACTCAGCTGGGGGCTTCCTGGACAGGAGCTCAGGTCTGTCTCCCGACTCCTCCCGCCCCCGGCCCCCCACCCCCAGCCTCAGCCAAACTCCTGGGATTAAGAGTTTAGGTTTCACTTTGGCCTTTGTGAGCCACGAGGAGTTGAAAGGGGCTCTCAGGATACACCATAAACTATGAAAACAGCAGGAAACAAAATCAGAAAGCAAAAATATAAAAAAACAGAAGGGACGGTCAAGTTGAAAGGACACGGGTATGCAGGACAGGAGGAGGGCAGATGGCATACAGCTGGGGGTGTGGGGGCTGGAGTCAGGTTACTGGGGTCCAATTCAGTTCTGCCACCTTCCAGCTACTCAGCTCTGGTCAAAGTGCTAACCTCAACTTTCCCATCTGGAAAATGGGGGGGAACTAACTAACTCCCTAACTCGATCTGTTACAAGGATGAAATGGGACCAGACAGGCGAGGCCGCCATTCCAGGTCAGGAGGGCACAGCAGTTGCCCAGGAGAGGCTGGTTCCACCTGCAGGCTCTGAGCACATTCTGGAGCTGAGGTTTGGCTCTGAGCTTCGCGGTTGCCAGAGTGAAAAGGGAGATGCACATCTGCCTTTTTAGAGGAGAAAATGCTCAAGATGACCCTGAGGCAAAGAAAGCTCGTGAAGGGGACCCTGAGAAGCTTCAGATCACAGGCAGGCTTGAATTCCCGACTTGCCGACAGGACCAGGATCTCAGGGGCAAGGGCTGTGTCCAGAAAATGCCCCTGAAGGCAGAGCGGAGTCGGGGGTGGACCCTGTCAAATGTGGGCCCTGCCCTGCGCACAGGCAAGTCACTGCACTTCTCTGCGCCCCAGTTTCCTCATCTGGAGAATGGGGTGATGACAGCCACTCCGCTAGGGCTGAAGGGCTGGTACACTTCCCCGCCGGCCTCCTTCCCCTCCGAAGTGACGAGTTCCTGCACGACAGCCCGGTGGCCAGCAGGGGGCGTGCCAGGCACACGCAGGCGTTGCCCCGCTCCGGTCAGTTTCTCATTGAGAATTTATCTTCTACTTTGCTCCTTTCTTGCTGGCTGCCTCCTCTCCAGCAAGAAAGGCTGGCACCTCTGAGGGGGCACCCACAGCCCCTTGCACCCAAGCAAAGTGAGGCAGCTTCTCTCGGTCGCTCTGCACCAGGCAGAACCCTGCTCACCAGGGCCCCCTGCAGGACACCCACTGTGTCTCAGTTCCCTGGGCGTCCTAACTAAACATCACCACTCACAGGCCACGTGATAAGTGCCTCGGCCTTTATACACTCATCGCGCGTGCGCGTGGATCAGTAGTCCCATTTTAGAGATGAGGAGACTGGGTCAGGGAAGGCCTGGCCAGGAAGTAGCTGAGTTTTGTATTTCAGCCCCTGGGAGCCTGAGCCGCCTTCTGTTTTTTACCGCCATCCCAAGCAGCCTCTGATAGACAACAAGTCACCCGGAGGTCCTGCCTGCTGCAGGAATTCCCCCAGTCAGCCCACCTCCTCCCCTGACACTTGTTTATCCTGGGACCCCCTCGTGCCCTCTGATCTCAGCAAAGCCTCTCAGCAATTGTGGATCAAACCAAAGGTGGGATGATAATGTCTTCCCGTCCACCTGGAGCCTCTCAGGTGACACAGCCCCCCCCCCCCCACCCCGTGTCTCCAAAACTCGGTGACGCGTGTAGGCCAGGGAGTGTCTCCCTCCCCTCTTCACTGCTCGGAGAACAGACATGCCCACGTGGCCAGGGCAGAGACCCATCCCTAGTCTCCGGGGTCTCCCCGTGTCAGGCTTTCCTGTGCTGTCCCTTCCCTGCCCCTCACAGCCACAGGTCTCCCCGAAGGCAGCAGTTGGGCAGGGCCAGCAGGGCCTCTTGTGACAGGGGGGAGGCTACCGCCCGGGGAGGGCAGGTCCCGGCCGAGCGCAACAACATCCGGGACCACCCAAGGGGGGCATCTGGGACTTTGTCACCGAGGGTGTTTGCAGTGTGTGGTGGCTGGTTCGACATCAAGGCAGGAACATACATCATGGCAGGCTGGGAACCCAGTCAGTCAGTCAGTCAGTCAGTCAGCCCGTCTCTCTCTTCCACTTTAACTGAGGTGAAATACTCCAAAGTGTATTGGACTTTCCTGGTGGCTCAGACGGTAAAGTGTCTGCCTGCAATGCGGGAGACCTGGTTCGATCCCTGGGTCGGGAAGATCCCCTGGAGAAGGGAATGACCACCCACTCCAGTGTTCTTGCCTGGAGAATCCCATGGACAGAGGAGCCTGGTGGGCTACAGTCCATGGGGTCGTGAAGAGTCAGACACGACTGAGCAAGTTCACTTCACACTGAAGTGAACAAATGCATCTTGATGAACTTTTCTACCCATGTTGACATAAACGCCACCTGGATCAAAATTTGAATAGGACGTTCCTTTCGCCCCGGAAGGTTCCCATGCCAGCTCAGCAGAGGCGGATCTCACCCTGTGCGGCCTCTCAGCTTGGACACGTGGTTTTGTAACCTCCAGGGGGAGCGCCCAGCCTGGCTTGAGCGGAGCAGTTGGAGGACTGCCCCACCTCTCTGGCCGAGGGTGGGGAGAGTGCTGTGAATCCCAGATCAGCTTCCGGGCCCGGGGTCTCCGGGCCCAGAGCTGTGGGGGTGACTGGAGGTCGGGCAGGAAGAGGGGCTGCTCAGGAGCCCCTGACCCCAGCAGACACACGCTCACACTCAAGCCGCCAGCTTCTGTCCGTCAGGCACCCCCAGGCCCATGGGCACCCAGAGGCCTGCCCGCGCCCCTCACCTGAGCCTGAACGTAGTCCCAGGCCTCCTGCAGGTTGTCCTCGGAGCCGTCCGTGTAGTTGTGAATGAGCTTGGTCACGATTCCGCCCATCTCCTGCTTCAGCTGCAGAGGAGAGAGCACGGACCGCGGTCAGCATGCTGGAAACGCGCGAGCCCATCCCCGGTCACACGTGCTCAAGCTGCCTCTACGCCACGCCCCTAAACACTGGGGCTACGCTCACTGCTCAAAGCATGTTGTCACCCATTCCAGCCACTTTTCTGGTCCTCCCTGGGCGCCAGCACCCCCGACCCCAGTGCAGTCAGGGTCAGCCACCCCCGCCTGACCGTCTCCTCAGCACTCAACACCACGTGAGCCTGTAGACGAGACTCTGTCCACGTCATTGCTGCAAACTGTCCAGTGGCGGGCGTCTCACCCAGCTCGGGAGAAATGTCTTCTCAACAGCCCACAGGCCCTACACTTTTAGACCCTGCTCTTTTTGTTTGTTTTTAATTAATTAGCTTTTTAAATTGAAGGATAATTGCTTTACCAGATTGGCCCTGCTGCTTGCAGACCTCGTTATCCCTGCTCTTCTGCCTTCCTTTTCAGTTACGCAGGTCTTTGGGCAAGATGCGCTCCTGCCTGGGGCCTTTGCACTTTCTGTCCCCTCTGCCTAAAATCTCCTTCCCCCAAATATGAATGTGACTCATTCTCCCACTCTCTTTAGAGCTCTCCTCAAATGGCTGCTCCTCAGAACGGCCTTCCTGAACCACCCAGGAAAATCTCAGCCCTTCCCTATCCCCTGCCAGGCCCCCCGTATCCTACAAGGGGAGGCACGCTGCAGGTTTTTCCTTGTGGCCTTGTCATAGCATACTCTTCTGCTTCCAGAATCTACGGTCTCTCTCCCCAACTAGAACATCAGCTCCGTGGGGGGGCGGGAACTGAGTCTGAGTCAGCCTGGCCAGGGGAAATGTGCGGCGAGCGTGGAGGATGAACCTCACCACCTACCCAGCTCCAGGGCCCCCCAAAGTTCACGTCTGCCTAGGCTGGCTCAGAATGTAGGGCCCCTGTGGGGGGAGAGGGAAGCACCTGCTTTTTGCTAACCCCGCAGAGGAAACACTCGTTTATAAAGAAGGTGGGTGTGAGGTGCAGGGATCAAAAGGCTTCGGCCCCCAAGGCCTCTTCCTGGGGTTTGAGCAGAGGATCTCACCATGGCAGCTTTCCAGAAACCAATCCACTGTGCAGTGGCGGTGAGACCCAAATTGGCCCCACCTGCGGACCTTGCTCGGGGGCCTCCCCGGGCGCCCCGACTGGAACGGGCTGCTCACGGTCACCTCTTGTCCTCACAGAACCTTGGGGCAAGGGGCCTGAGAGGAGCAGGGACACCGAGGGGACGGCCCCATACCTGCCCCTCAGTTCCTGAGAAAGTGGAATCGGGGAGATGGGACAGGGGCCTCCAGATGGGGGCTTTCAGAGTGAGCCAGCTCAGAACTCCGTGAGCGGGGGCTTCCTCCAGCTCCCCACGAATGCAGCGCTCAAAGAACCCACATCCTCCAGACTGCCCTGCAGGCCCGGCCCCCTGCTTTCACCTGCCCTGGGAAACCATCCCCCTCCCAGGCAGCCCCACGCCCCGGCCCACCCCAGGATCGTTCTCTGTCCCTCTCTTACCATAAACTTCTTAGTCAAATATCTCTCTGGTTTTATTGGCAGATATCTACCACTTGCAAAGCTAGCCTGTCAGTAACTAATCACAACAGTAGAGGCCAACTTTGATCAAGCTTGTTATTACTAGCACCGTGCTAAGGACTTTTAATGCCTTATTTGACTATCCCTCCAGGCAGATCGATGGCCTAGGTATTATGGAGAGGCAGAAAACAAGGCCCAGAGAGGTTAATTAACTTGCCCAAGGTCTCACAGCCAACATGTGAAGAGCTGGAGTTTGGATCCAGGTCTGACTGATTCCAGAACCCAAGTTTTTATCCACTGAGCTCTATCAGCATTTAAACCACATGGCCATTGCTTGCAATAGGTCAGAGCAGTTTCTTTTTCTATTTTTTTTTAGCACTTAATCTTTAATATGTTTAATTTGGTCAAAATCTATGGAAGTCTACAAAAATCTACAGACCATATGGCTGTGTAACACAACGCACAATGTATTATAACAGTACCACATGGAGAATGTAAAATGTAAAGTTAGACATTAGGTTAACTCATAGGCGTGAACATAGTCTTTTCTCCAGTGCTGACAAGGACCACTCACTTTAAAATTCTCTTAAAGAATAATTAAAAGCTGCCTAGGTGTCAGTTTAAGCTATCTCAGTTCTCTTGTTTAGAATGAAACCCCTTGAGGTCACTGCAACGAGCAGTTTTCTACCAGAGCGGCTCGGTGGCTGGCCCACGTCACGCAGCGAGGGCTGTCTGCCTGCAGAATCTGAGTCTCTTTGCCCCTACCCTCTGGCCCCACCTCTGCTCCCCAGTAAGCAGATGACCCCTGAGGCGTGGAAAGAAGGGGGTCCCCAGGGGCACTTGCAGAGAGAGCTGTCTCCCCCCACATCCTCCCACCACCCTCCCCCACCGACCTGGGCTCTATTTATACCCAGCATGGTTGCCACAACAGCCCAGACTTCCCTGTTTCAGCCCCCAGAAATGAGAAGGCGATGGAAGCTGGGTGGTTTCCACTGAGGCTGGGTAGTTTCCATGGAAACACCACATCCATCCTCCAGCCCAGAATGGGGCCCAGGGACCCAACTATGCCACAGAGGGCCACGGTGGCAGGGGCTGATTTAGCTTGGAGTTGAGGCCTTGGGACCCCAATGCCCAGGAGGCAGTGCCAGGAGCCCGGGGAAGTTACCCTGGCAACCAGGCTGTTCCTGAGACAGGGAGGAGCAGGGAGAAGCAGCTTGCCATCTCACTTCATCCCTGCAGGGGCCTCTCTGTGGTTTCTGCCTGCCCCATGTCCACTCTCCGTTCTTGAAACAGCAACTCCCTTCCTTGGCAGTAAGCACCCCTCAAACCCACCATGCGGCTGAGGAGTCCTGCCCCCTCGCTGCCAGGGGCAAGCAAAAACCCAGGGTGCCACTTAGCGCCTTCTACACCCTGGCACAACAAGTGGTTCAGGGATGGGCAAGTGACCCAAGGTCATGCCCGAGGGCCCTCGCCTTCTGCTAATTTGGTGGGATGAGGGCCTGAGTGGCCACCCCAACCCCCCTGGGGACAGCTGACCTGAGGAGGACGCCAACGGAGGCGAGCAGGGCTGAAGATGCAGACAGACAGCGCCGGGGGCAGCCTGTAGAAGCCTGGATCCAGCTGCGCCTGCAGCCAGGGCAGGCCCGTTTCAGCTGGGTTACTGTTACAGGTGATAAAGAGGCTTGCCCAGGAATGGCTGCATACTTTACAGCCTAGTGTGAAGTGAAAGTGCAGGGCTCCTTACTTCAAAATGATTAGGAATTTCAAGACATCAGCCCAAGCACAGAAACCTTCTAAGCGTGGGATGCTGTGTGGCTGCTCAGTGAACACAGCTAGGAAGCCAGCCCTGGTCTTGTCCAATACCATCCTCCCCACTTCCCCAAAGAGAAAACCAAGGCTCAGACAGTGAGATCAGACAGCTGGCAAGCTGTGGATATACAGCCATCACCTGCTACGTGCATCTCCAGAACCCTGAGATCCTATCACAGCAAGCCACCCACCATCTCCAACCCTGCCATCCTCTGGGATAACTCTCCTCCCCCACCCCCACCTCATGCTATGCTTTTATGTCACTTTGTAGTGTGACTTTTCTGAGAGAGGTACAATCAGAAGACATCTTTGAGTCCAGCATATCATCCAAAAGTAAGAATCCTTTTTGTACTTTTCCAGGCTCTGCTTAAATGCTCCCTGTGATGGGGAACTCAGTACCACACAAAATAGCACATTGTGGGGAGGCTCTTGGTTCAGTCAGTTCATTCTAAGTTGAGCCCAGATGACTTCTAGCCATGGGTTTCCATCCTCCCTCTCCCTCCCAAGTCCCAGCTGGGACCACACAGAACAAATCGAATCGTTCTCTCCCAGGACAAACGTCATTCAGATGTTTGAGACCCCCCTCCTCCCCGGGGTAAATCTCCAGGCTCTTTGCAGGCTCTTTGGGATAGTGATCAGCCCTCTCTCCAAGCTCTTATGTGCCAAACTGCCTCTCACAATGAGGGGTCCCCGTGCGATGAAAGGGACCCACACCTTCTTGCCCCCTCCCTCTGTACCCACAAAAGGGGTTGCCAAGCGCTTTGAGGCTTCATCCTGGGAACCTGGTGAGAAATGAGGACCCTTTGCCCTGGAAGATGTGGAAGGGGTAGCATTTTCACTCTTAGTGACCACCTAGGTCTTTGCTGAAAGTCTGGCTGCAATCTACATAACCAGTTGCCGAAGAATTCAGCAGGGGGCCACACCATGTACGTCTGTCCCGCCCCCACGATAGGCTTGAGGGCGGCGCCCGAGTCAGCCGCTGGAGCCAGACACTCGCGTGCTCGACAGTCTCTGCCCACTGGTCTCCAGAATCCCTTTCCAGAAGGACAGTCTGGGCACCTTCTTCCCCTTCCCCGAAAGGGAAGAGAAAGGTCCCCGCCACCCGCCTCCACCGCCAGCCCCGTCCGGGCTCCAGCCACCTCCCGGTGGCAGTAACCCCGAGCTAATCACTGAGGAGGTTCCCACGGCAGGGAGCGCTGCCCTCCGGAGCTCATTTAATCCCCTGTGTGTTCGCTCCTGTGGGCGCTGGCTGCCTGGCTCCTGTGGGCCTCTGGCATGGGAGAGGGAAGGAGGAGGAAGGGAATCATGGTTTTCCTGGCCGGCCACCCTCTCTGCAGAGCAGACAGCAGTCCAGCTGAGCCCGTCACCACCACCACCCCCCTGCCTCCGCCCCAGCGACCACCCAGACCACGCTAGCCCCTCCCCTCAGGCCTTCTGCTCAAGCTGAAAGTGTTAGTCACTCAGTTCTGTCTGACTCTTTGTGACCATGTGGACGGTTACCTGTCAGGCTTCTCTGTCCGTGGAATTCTCCAGGCAGGAATACTGGGGTAGGTTGCCATTCCCTTCCCCAGAGGACCTTCCCGACCTAGACTGAACCCGGGTCACCTGCACCGCAGGCAGATTCTTTACCAACAGAGCCACCCAGGGAAGCCCCTGATACAAACTCCCAGAGCCTCAGCGGCCTCCCACGAGCAGGTCAGTGGGATGGCCTGTGTGAGTGCACTCAGCCCAGCACCCAGCACCTTCTGGGAACTGGTTATTAGTTCACCCTCTTCTGCACTGACTCCTGCCCACCCTCCACCACCCACAAAGAACAAGCCAGCATCCCAGGGTGACAGAGCTGGGAATGGCCCAAGAGGTTACCAGGGGCTCAGAGAGGCTGGGTAACATGTCCAAGGCCACATGGCAGGCAGCGGCAGAACCCAGACCTGAGCTTTTCCACTAAATGGGGGCTGGGTAATGATCAGACAAGGAAACAGCCAGGGGAATCTTTACTCCATACCTAAATTTTTGTTCCCACAGCCCTTGCTAATGTGAACATTAGTACTGGTGACAATAGGAACAGCTGCCCCTTTACTGAGCCCTTACGAGGCATTAGTGAAGTCAGCAATGGTGACAATAATAAGAAACTCTTGCAATGACACCAGCACACATCTGCTCTGGGCCAGGCAGACACTAGGCCCTTCGCATCTGTCAACACTCTCCATCCTTGGTGGCCCGCTTATAAGGTGGCCTTTGGGGCCAGTGCGCTCTGGCCCCGAGAAACGGTCGGATTTTAGGCAGGGCCAGAGGGCTGCGTGTCAATCTCTCCCATTCTGTACTTCTCAGGGGACAGCTAAAGGGGGTAAGCCAAGGCCATCAACAAGCTCATTTCTATCCGGGTTCGATTTTGCCACCAAATGAGTTGCGAGTGGTACATTGGGTTTCCAAAGTGTTTTTTGGACTTTGGAATTATGGCTAAGGGAGAGTGGACCTGTAGGATTGCTGCCGTTTGACAAAGGAGGAAACTGGGGCACACACAGGCTGAGTAACTTGCCGAGGGCCGCAGAGCAGGGCTCCGACATGGGCAGCTTGATTCTGGGGTCCAGGGCCTGGGCCAACACTGTGTTTGCTACAGGCCTTGAAGTCTGGGCTCCCAGCAACCCTGGGGCTGGGGGGAAGCCAACCAGCTCTATTCTCCGTTGATAGACGCAGACCCCAGAGCTTGGAAGCCGGTGCTCTGCCCGAGGTGCCCAGCCTCCCCTGCCGCCGCCCTGGGAATAGCTGCTGGGAGGAAGGACACTGGAGACCACTTCAGGGAGACCACAGGAGCTCAGTCCCTCCCACCTGCCCAGCAGGCCTGGAGAGAGGGGGAAGACGGGCCTGTCGCCTTCCAAAAAAGCCTTTTTCCTTCAGGCTCACCCAAGTCCCACCTCCCCAGCTGGGCCTCGTCTGCGGGAATAAACACCACCAAGGGCATGTTTAGTCTCCCACTGGGATTTACAATGTGCTAGGAAAGAAAAAATAAATCATTCATTCCAACTCGGGCGATCGGGTGGCGCCAGAACTTCCCCAGCGAAGTCAGGAAATTTCCCCCTGCTTTCCAGAGAAGGAGGTGGGGCAAGGGGAGGAGGGCTGGGGCTGGGGGCTGGGGAGCGTGAAGTGTGGACTCTGGGGGCTTGGAGGAAGGCAGAGAAGGGGACAGTGGGGTACCGTGACACATACAGCCTGGACTAGAGTCAGGAGAGCTGATTCTCCAAACCAGCCCTGCTCTGGGACTGGGCGTCGCCTCTGGGGCATGTATGCCAGCTAGAGGGGAGGCAGCGTGGAAGTAGAGGGCGGCACAGGCCTCGGGTTGGAGTGGGTGGGAATCTCCACCCTGTCGCATTTGAACTGCATGTGACCAGGGCCAAAAGCCACTGCCTTCCTGGGCCTCAGTTTCTTAAACTTGAAAATGCCAGCAAAACTAAAATGAGTGTCAAGCGACTAGCTCAGCCCCTGGGACGTGATTGGTGCTCAGAGGTGGACACTGTCTTTATTACTGTGAGGTGGGACAACACGGGGGTGAAGAAGTGGACTGCCCAGCACCGTTTGACCAGCTTCTGAGTCACAGTAGCTGCTCACTGGGGACCAGTTCTCATCCACTCTCTTGGTAATGTGCCACTGACTGGGGCCCAGAGAAGCCCCAAGTGCCTCACGGGTGGAAATGAAGACCTAATCCTGCAACCCTTGCACTGGGAGAATAGCTTCCCTTCCCTCAGCATCGGCTTTCTGTCTGGTAACCAAGCCAACTTCCTTTCATCTACTAAGCTGCTATTTTCCCTTTCACCTTGACTGCCAGGAAGCTCACTGTTCAAGTTAGCTCTAAGCTCCCATGAGTATCTTGTCCCCCAGCTCAGGAATGACATTTTTCTTCTCTCTTGGTGTGTCTTCTGATCTTTCTCATATTAATTTTAGCTGCTCTATGCCTATGTTAGAAGCTAGCTCCAGTGCTCCTAGGAAACAGACTGGGTAGATTATAAATAAGCAAAGCTGATTCAGGTAGGAAGCACTATAATGAAAATTTCACCAGCATGAACCAGGAAGCCAGGTTGCCTGGGTTCAAACCCTGGCTCTGCCACTTACTAGCTGTGTGACCTTTGGCCCAGTGACTTAACCTCTCTGTGCCTTGGGTTCTACATCTGAAAATGAGGGTACTCATACCCGTGACCTCAAAGGCTTGCTCTGAGGAACAAATAAATGCAGTATATACAAAGTGTTTAGTACCAGGCTTGTTCTAAATTCTATGAAGTATTACTTGATGGTGCTGCTATAATGTTTTCTCAACTTCGTTCCAAGAAGGATCTGTGGCAACGTGACCTTCAACTGGTAAAATGTGGGAGTCCACACGGCCGCTGGCTCTGCCAGCCCTGTGGGTAGATGGGAATTGTAGACCTGAAGGAAAGGCGGGATCCAGCCTCAGCCGGGCCCAGGGTGAACTCCGACTGGCCTCGTTGAGCCTGGGCCCTCACCTGGAGCATGAGGAGGTGAGGCCCAGGAAAAGAAGGCATGGAGAGTGGCTGGCACTGAGCCCAGAATCTGGCATGTGCTCAGTAGGGATCAGGGATAAGGGGCTATCGTTACTATTACTGATGCTGCTGTTGTTAATCATCTCTCTGAGCATCTGCTTCCCGGCCCATCAACATAAGACTTACAAGAGCTGCTGGGAGGACGAGATGAGATAATGTGCATGAAGCTTCTAGAAAATACCAACTGCACAGAGTAGGTGCCCCATAATGCTAACTGTGATGGTCACAATCAACTGGCACACCCAGCAGCCAACAGGCAGCCTACCCTTCTCTTGCATCTCTGTCTTTAGAGTCTGAAAGCTGGATACTCACTTTCTCAGCCTCCCTTGAAGCTAGGAGTGCCTTTAAAACTCAGTCTGGAGGAGACTGGTCGGGGGCTTGCTTTTCGGGTAAAAGGGATGGCCGTGGCTGGCACCGCCCCAGACCTGCTTGCTTGGTCAGGGGCTTGCTTTTCGGATAAAACAGATGGCCATGGCTGGCACTGCCCCACTCCCTTTCTTCCGGCCATAGCAGCAGATGTTGGGCCTGGTGCTGTGGCAGCCATCTTGTGACCATGAGGTAAGTGGCTTGATAGAGGAAAGATGTCATGATGAGGATGCTGAACAGACAGCCAGAACCAGGGCCTCTTGAGCTTCCAAACCTGACTTCTGGTTAAATCAACAACATATATCCTTAGAGTTTAAGCCCCAGTATGTCTGATTTTCTATTCCTTAACACTGAGGGTCTTCCCTCTGACATGGGAATAACGTTTTCATGGATGTCTCCTCCCTGGGCCTCATCTGCGGACGAGATGCTGAGAATTGAGCTATGTGTTTTGCTAAGATAATCTCACTGAATCACTGCAGCAACCCTGAGAGTTAAATTATTAATGACGCCTGTTTACAGAAGGTGAAACAGGAACAGAGAGGCAAGCAGCTTGTCAGTGACCACACAGCTAGGAAGTGGTGGGGTCCAGTCAATGTAGGGCTCAGCAGCGACTCCACCCACGTATATTGTCTCCACTCCCCTCTAGCCTTCTGCCATGTTACCATAGGGAACCGGAGGCCCAGGAGGCTGACCTGGCACCTGCGAGTTTCCTTTTTTCTTTCTTTTGGCTGTGACACATGGCTTGGGGGATCCTAGTTCCCCAACCAGGGACTGAACCCACACCCTTGGCCGTGAAAGCATGGAGTCCTAAACACCATACCAGGAATTCCCCACCTTTGGGTTTCTCTGTGACAACCACAAGGCCTCTTGTCTGTCCCCCACTCCCAGGCCACCCCCACCCCCAACCCTACCCTAGTCCAGCCCAGGTCAGGGGTGGGGACGGGGTCAGCGGGTGCTCACCTGGCCCATGTTGAAGTAGAAGAAGACCCCTGCAGTCACCTGGGCAATGAGGATCAGCAGGAGGAAGGCAAAATACTGGGGACGCAGAGCAGACACATAGTCAGCAGCAGGGTCCCCACCACGCCCCCCTTACCTCGATGCCCCCGCCCAGACTGGGCCAGGGCCCCCCAGGCAAGATGAGGTGGGGGCGCTGGGTGGGCAGTTCTGGGGGGACCGTACTCACCATCCCCAGCAGGCAGCGGACCTCGTTGACGGCACCCAGGCAGCCCAGGAAGCCCATGACCATGGTGAGGGCCCCCACGCTGATGAAGACATAGGCCGCCACCTTGAACGAGGTGGAGGAGGTCTCTGCCAGGGGAGAAGGACACTGGATTCAGCCTGCCTGTCTTGCTGAGTGCAAGATCGGGGCAGGGCTGCAGCCACAGCCCTGCCGTGGGGTCGGGACACTGGGATCAGCCATCCAGCCAGGCACCTGCTCCCTCCCCTGCTTTGGAGGCGGCCTCCCCTAGATGCACGCCCCGCCCCCGTCCCTGCTTTACTTTTTGTCCTTAGCCCTTAGGGGACTGAAAAGACTCTAGTTTTACTGACTTCTCTTGCTCATCGTCTGCGACTCCGAGGAGCCTGTAAGCTGCACCAGGGCAGGGACCGGTCCCTGCTGAAACCCCGCACCGGGACAGCGTCCAGCACAGCAAAGTGCCGTAGGAGTCACTGCTGAATTAACAAAACAGACTGGCAGGTTCTGCTGGGGCTACGGGCACTGACCACCTTCCTCCGTGTCCATAAACAACAAACGCGGCCCCTCTTGTCCACTCGCTATGCCACAGGGCTTCACACGTCTGCCAGAACTCTGCCCAGCAGGCACCAGCATGCCCATCTCACGGATGAGACACTGAAGCTCAGAAAGGCACATCAGCAAGGGCCAGAGCTGGGATTTGCAAACAGGCAGACCCAATGCTTCGGCCACCTGATGTGAAGAACAGACTCACTGGAAAAGACTCTGATGCTGGGAAAGACTGAAGGTGAGAGGAGAAGAGGGCAACAGAGGATGAGATGGTCGGATGGCATCAATGACCCAATGGACATGAGTTTGAGCAACCTCCAGGAGAGAGTGAAGGAGAGGGAAGCCTGGTGTGCTGCAGTCCATGGGGTCGCAAAGAGTCGGACACGACTTAGCGACTGAACAACAGACTCCCAACGCCAGGCTCTTTCCACTTCTGCGCGGGGCGTGCGTACTGACGCAGGTGTGTCCCTCCTTCGTTTGTTCAGCCCACAGACATTTGCCAGGAATCACTGCATGCCAGGCGCTATGCCAACTGCTCGGTATGCAGCAGTCAGTCAACCTGCTGAGGTCCCCACCCCACAAAGGGGACGTGTGGTGGGGTGGGGGCTGTGAAAGGCCATGAAGACACTGAGGCTGGCTAAGGTCGAGTGAGCAGGGCAGGTGCCTGATGCGGGAGGAAGCTCGGTGCATGGGAAGACGGAAAAGAAGGTAAGAGAGAAAGGAGTCTGACGGGGATATGTGGGTGGCGGGGGGTGGGGGCGGTGCCTAATGGCAATGATGGAGCCCCCCCCAGCAGGATGGAGGTCAGAAATCTTGACCAGCATTCCCCAATAATCCCAGCAGATCACGCAGGGAAGACCTCACGTCCTCCTCCAGCCCCCAGTGTGGGTGTGGGGAGTCCTCTCCAAAACCCGAGGCTGTGACGAGCCAGGAAGGCCCGGGGGGACGCGCCTCCCCTGGGCAGGCGGCTGCGGGCACGCTCCTCTGACAGCCCCGGGCGCTGCAGGGAAGCTGGAGAAGCACCCTCAGGGTGGGGGTGCTCCCAGAGGCTCCTGGGTCCACCGCAGCCAGGCGGACTTTGCCGGAGATGACCCGGAGTCTGCCTGCCGGTTGTGCCTTCCCAGTGACTTGGGCACGGCCAGAGCTGCCAGCGGGCTGACCGACCACGACTCCCGGGGCAGGGGTCCCCCAGAGGGGCTGAGATCCCCACCTCGGCCACAGAGGGGGCCTGTGGGCCCTGAAGGAACGACCACAAAGCTGGCGCGTGGGCGGGTGGGAGGGGGTGATCCGGCCCCACTTCCTGGGCACAGACAGAAGGTCCTGGAGCTGAGTGTCAAACTTTGCTTTTTCTTAAACTTCCTGGGTTTGGGTTTCAGCAAGCCCTCCCAGTGAGTCCTCCTCCCCCCACGCACGGAATCCACGGTGTGCCAGCTCCGAGGAAGGCCCTCTATCCAAACCATGCCGCTGAGTTTCTGCCACGGCCCAGGGAGGGTGGCTCCACACCCTGATCTGTCTGTCAGAGCCCGGAGCAGCTAGGAGGCTGCAGATGGGCCCCAGGGGCAGGGCTGGGGGCTGAGAGCCCGCCGCCACTGCCAGCACTCGGGGCCTTCTCCGGGAGGCCAGCCGGGGCGCAGGGTCTCTGTTTCCCAGAGCCAGTGCCAGTCCCTGTCCTCCTCCAGGGCCTCAGGCTGGTCCTGATCTGAGCACCCTGACCTAGGCAGGGGGCACGTGGACAGCCCAGGTCCTGTGCTCCAAGACCTGTATCCTCTTGGTCTTGTCGGGTCTCAGAGGTACCAGCGAAGTGGGCAGGGAGTAGCCCAAACCTCCCAAAGTGACCAAGGACCACTCAAAGTTGGTTGCTACTTAAACCCGACTTTGCTGCTAATAGGCTCTGAGCCCTGTGGGGTGTGGGCAGGCCATTTTCTGGGCTTCTGGTTTCTGTTTTTTTTCTTTTTTCCCTCTGTGAAATAAAACTAGTAATTCCAGCTTCTTAAAGATGTTCTAAGGACCAGATGGTATTATAAACTGATTTAACAATCATTTACGTAGTGTTTACGATCTACTAGAAACCCTTCTCAACACGTTCAGACATTAACCTGCCTAATTTCTCAGGATGGACTTTATGACGCGGTCTATCATTATCTTCATATTACAGATGAGGAGGTACAGAGGGTGGAGTTACTTGCCCAGGATCGCACAACCGGTAGATAGCAGAGCCGGGCCTGGAACCCTGGCATCGGGCTGGGGGCTCTGCGTCCTGACCCGCCGTGCTGGCTTCTGCTCCTGAAGGCAGGGCGTGCCGCAGGGCCCGGGGGGCGGGGGCTCGGGCGTGGGGGCTCAGGAGCCATGCCCCTGGTTCCCACCCGTCCCCCGCCTCAGCTGTGCCCGTGGACAAGTTACTACCTTTCCCCTCAATTTCCTTCGTTGTAAAATGGGGCTAGTAACGCTCAGCCCCAGGGACTCCCAGTGAGGATTCGATGCGGCAAGGGGAGAGCTGTGTCACGCAGGCCTGGCACACAGTGGCCCCGGCTCCCAGTTCTGACTCTCACTTGCTGCGAGACTCTTAGCAAGTCTTTTTCTGCCCTTTCTCTGAGCCTCAGTTACTCAAGGGTATGGTGACTGGGCTAACAAATTAGTGTTTCTGAACGCTGGCTGCCCGGGGAACCCCCCAGGAAGATTTTTAAAAGCCTGGGTGCTCTGGGGCTCCACCCACACACCTGGAGTCAGATCCCTTGAGGGTGGGGTCAGGCCTTGGTATCTGTAAAATCACTCGGGTGCATCCAGGGGGCCTCCAAAGCCTGGCCAGTTTGAGATTCTCAGCCCTGAACAGGTTGGACCCCGGGAGTACCGGGCGGGTGGGGTACAGAGGGCAGAAACGTGGTGGGTGGGCTGGGCCGAGACTTTGCCCCGAGGCGCAGTGCCCGCTGGGTGTGCACCATGGCCCAGGAAGCGGGGAGCCTGGGCCGAGTGAGCGGGCCAGGGAGAACACGTCCCATCCTCCTTGCGGGGAGGGCGTGGGGGGTGTGGGTACCCAGCTGCAGTAGGAAACCCAAACCTTAGCCCCCCGATGGGGAGCAGTCCACACTACCCCCTCTCAGCAGAAGTCAGGACTGACAGTCCCAGACAGCAGTGGGTATGGTGGAGGGGGGATCACCCTTACTTCCCTTCCCTTCACGTCTGAGGGGAGGCTCATCCCCCAGGGCCCCCTCCATCACCCATCCTAGCCTGGTTCCGTTGCATTCAAATCAAGCAGCTGTCACCGGCCTGAGTCCAAACCTGCTGCCCCGGGCAGCTGCTGGGAGGGGAAGTGAGCCAAGGACCCACTCGCTGAGGGGCGTGGCTTCGCTGAACTCCGCTTTCTGCCTCCATCCCACCTCAGAACGTCCACTGGAGGCTAGCTCAGCAAGCCTGGCAGGCTTCCTGGAGGAGGCAGCGAGAAGACCAGAGAAGGCCTCCTATTGTCCTGGCAGGGGAGCCTTGGGCTTCTTCCCCTCCAGCTTCAAGAAGGAGACAAGGGGCTTCCCCTACCATCTGGACTAAAGCTCTGGGGGGTTCGAGTCCCACACCCGTCACTCTGAGGCTGGGTGAACTTCAGCCGGGGATGTTATCTCTCTGAGCCTCACTTCTTCATTTGAAAGGCACGAAGTTCCTACTGCCTGAGGCTGCTGTGAGGTTAAGGCAGTTTATCTATGCCAAATGCTTGGCTCCATGCCTTGCACACTGTGACCACAAACGGTAGATGCTGGCCTGCTGCCTCCTCATCACTGCATTTGCCTGGCCCACCTGGCCAGGGCCAGGCACATAGTAGGTGCTTTGTGCATACCTGACGATCTACCACTCCTGGCTTTTCTTCTGAACTGGGAAGGGGAGGCAGTACTGCCCATGTGTTGCTGAGCAGGCAAGTGGAGGCACGGACGAGATAAGAGGCTTTCTCAAGTTCAGGGCAGAGGGAAGGGGCCAGGATGGAGAACAAGCCTCTCTCATCCCCCAGCATTCTCCAGACAACAGCAGCTTTGTTTAGAGAGGGAGAGAAAATTCCTTCTGAAAACCCCTGCGGAGAGGCCCGGGGGCAGAGTGGTCAGCAGCGGGACCTGGGCAAAGCAGGCCCCAGGGGCAGCTGAAAAAGGGAGGGACGGGCTTTGAGGGTCAAATATTTGTGGGAGCAGCCCTGACTGCTGCCCTGCCCCTCGTTCAGAGGCAGCTGGGCCAGCGGGGTGTAGAGGGGTCCTTACGTAAGATGGAGATGAAACTGTTCTTGTCGACCAGGATCCAAATCCCGAAGCCCAGGATCACCGCACCCAGGACCTGGAAGAAGAAAGCGGCAGTTAACGGGGTCCCCTCCCAGCTGCCCCTGGGTGGGGTGGGCCACATCCATCTTTGCTCAGCCCAGGATGTCAGGGTGGCCTCAGGCCCCGAACCCCAATTGCAACCAACTCCAGCAATCCAGAGGGCAGGCCATGAGTGGGGAGTCCCTCCTCACTGGGTGCGGTCAAACCGAGGGTGCTGGCTCTGGGGGTGCCGCCTCCTGCCAGGGTACCCTCCTACTCATCTCCTGGCCCTTCCCCAGCTGGGGGGCTGGGAGCTTCCCAAACAAGCCAGGCTCCGGGGCATTTGGAGCCCTCCGCAGACTTGATCATTGAAGCCCAACCTGTCCTCAGATCTCTCGGCTCCAAGACCAGTTTTCACGGAAGACTTCCTGACCCCCAGCCAACTAAGGGGCCTCAGCTGTGGGGCAACCACCACAGGACCCTTCTTAAACCCGCTAAACCCACTGGGTTTAACTCTGCCGCATTCTCTCTGGCTGGACTATGAGCTCCCTGAGGGGTGGGCTGGGTTGCATGCAGCCTGTGGACCTGGGCACCTATTGTACCAGGTGCAAAGGACTCAGCGGGAGACTGAGTTCATGAATCAGACTGTGTACATACAAGATTAGAAAAGGAAAGGAATGGGGTGTGTGGTGGGGGGGCGGCTGTGTAGGTCCAGACCCAGGGATTTCCTGCCTCCCTTCCCTGCACCAGCGGGTAGACCCACAACCTGAGCCTATCTTCCCAGGTGGAACCCCCACCAAGATCCACCCTCCCATCAAGCCAGCTAAGTGTGGACAAGGGCCCACAGTCAGGGCCAAAGCATAGACTCCCTTAAGGGGATGGAGGTGGGGAGGCCTGCATCACCCTGTAAGCCCAGTCTTCCCCTGCGGTCTGGCCTGGGTCCGCCTTGGGGATAACCCACCTTCAAGGTGCCAGCGTGTCACCAGGCCCCTTTAACACCAGCCCTGGGCTCCGGCCTGAGTCATCACCCCATAATCCCAGGGGGTAGGCCCGCAGCTGCTGATAAAGCCCTCAGCCTGCAATGAGCCCCCCGGCCTCAGGGGCTTCATCAGTCTTGCTCTACAGTTATTAAAAACCAGAGCCGCGGCCCTGGGTAAAGTGAACGGGCATTTGCCTCACAGGGTAAAATTCAGGGGACACCAAAACCACTCAGTAACCAAGATAAATGAGTTTATAGCGATCATTTTTAAGAAACAAGACCTCATGGGGAAAAAAAAATTAATGATGAACAAAATATGAGTCTTTTAAATAAAGACAGGCTTGGCGTTAACTGCTTTTACCTTTTGAAAAGGCGCAGGGCCCCAGTGTGGTGGGCTGTTGCTGACCCAAAGCAAGCACCTTACTCGCCTCACCCTTAAAGACAACACCCGTTAAGGACAACAGCAGCTGCGGCCAGGAAGTGGAGAGAACAATGACCTCCCGACATCTGTCCCCAGCAACTCACTTGTCGCCTCCTCTCTCCCTGTCAGATGGGCCCTGTTATTGTCCTCATTTTACAGATGGGGAAACTGGGGTCCTGACCTTGCCCGAGGTCACCCAATTCACCCACCAGGGGCTCAACGTCAGGTCTGAATGTACAGCTTGGTCACGTGGCGGCAAACCAGGGTCAGGGATTCTGGGGGTCTCTCCTGCGCCTCGGCCCAGAAAGCCAGCCCCTGAAGACAGGAAAACTCCTGGGACCTTGGGGGTGGGGTGCGGGAAAGGGTGGGGCAAGGGCCCACCCGCAAGTGGGGGGCACCTCAGACCACACAGCTTGCTGGGAGGAAGGTGGGCTTGACAGGGCCTGGCGGCTAGGTTTCCAAAGATTCCCGGACCCTTCCCCACCCCAGCCAAGCAGCCCAGCGTGGCGGGCCCGGGGTCTGCCCTGCACTCACACCCACGTGAAGGAGCCCATCTGCTCACCTGCACTCACGGGGCGGGGCTGCAGGAAGAACTGTCCTCTCAGAGAATGCAGGGCCGGGTGGAAAATTCCCTCTGGGCAAATATTTTACCCCCAACAGAGTAAAATCCCAGACTTGCCCAGCTGGGCTCAGCTCGCCTCCAGGAGCCCAGGGAGTGAAGTGCCTGGCGCGATCTTTTCGGCTCCTCTGCAGGTCTGGGGACTATGGCCTGACCGCCCGCCAGGTGTGGCTGGATCCACGCCAGGCCACGGGACAGCCGGGAGCGAGGCCAGGTCAGGGGGCCGAGCACCATGACACCCCCTTCCTCTGTGAACCCAGACTGGGGCCACGGGGCACACCCCACATGAACACCCCTCCCCAGACCCACCAGAGCCTCCTGACAGGAGCCAGGCGCCTCCCAGGCCAGCATCCTACCGTCAGAAAGGCCACGGCACCCGCAGCCTCAAAGCTTCTTTAGCTCTGAGAAAAGCTGATGACGGGGTAATTTTCTGGGGAGTTCGGGGTCACAAGGGAGGGGAGGCCAGGGTATACACGTGGACCCGTGTGCATACGTGAGAACACACGGCAGCCAGTGATTTTGCCAAACCACAAGTTCAATCACGTAACCGCTTCCCACTGTGCAGGAAACACAGACCCAGATCCTTCCTGGAAGGGCTGTGAGAGGCTCGCTGGGACCCACTCCCCCGCTGCTGGACTTCCGGTCCTGCTGGGGGACCGCACACCCCAGCCGCACATGTAACTGCAGGGCGCTCTCGCCGACTGCTCCGACAAGGTCAGTTGCCTTGTTATCTGCTCTCTTAGGGACCATGTCCTTCATTCCCAGTATCTCCCGCAACTGCAGTATTATTGTCCACTTGAGCCAGTATTTGATGGAAGCCCATCACCCCTCGGACCACAAGCCCCATGAGTGCAGAAGCCACAGCTCTTCCACCAAGTGAATGTCTACCTGGCACCCAGGATGGAATCTGAATACACAGGGTGGTCAAGTATACCCTTGGTGGATGAGTGACGAGTGATGGATAAATGGACACACACATACACACTGTTTCCTTTCATTCTCTTTTTTCTCTCTCACTGTCCTGAGATAAAAAGCTCCCCCCCTCTCCCACCACAGCCCCCCCTCCATATCCTGATGAGCCCTCCTGGGCCCCGGAACCCGGGGAGGGAACACCTGCTTCCTGCCAGTGTCCTGGAGCAGCTGGGAGGAGACGAAGCGAGACCAACCCTCAGAGCGCGGCCCGAGGGAAGCTTGTCTAGGCTCTGGTTCTGTGGGAAGCCTGGAAGTGGAAGGGACACCCTGGCCCCAAACCCTCAACCCCTCTCCCTTCCTCTGTGAAGTCTCCACCTCCCTCCCTCCCGCCGCGTGGGGGGAGAGGGAGTGTCTGTGTCCCTGTGTCCCCAGGCCCTGCCACCTCCGAGGCTGTAGCCCAGGCTCCCCGCTCTGGCCCCAAGAGCCCCAGGGACAGAACCATCGGCTCCCACACTCCACCCCCCATCCTGGCTGGCTGGCCCTTAAAGCTGGGCCTCAGCCCGGGAGCACAGTGCCTGCCAGGGAAGGCGTGGTTCTGGCTGTGTGGGCAGCCAGTTTCCAGAAGCCTGGCCCCGCTGGGAGGGCCCTGACCGCCGAGCTGGGAAACTCAGGTGCCCAGGCCCTGCGGCCATCAGTGGAGGGCCGGAGCGGCATTGCGGCCTCCACAGCATCCTTGAGGCGGGGAAGGCGGGCCAGAGCCAGGGTGGACCTGCTGCAGGGCAGGCAGCACCAGGGCCGTCCATGCCCATGCAACTGTGTGCATGCGTGTGGGTGCATGTGTGCCAGCAGCACACCTCTAAACATCTGTGTGTTGGGTTAAAGTTATGAGAGAGAGTTTAGATTGATGCTTTATTTTCCAAACTTTCTATACTCCTGTGTAACTTGTAATGTAAAAAACCACTTTTTCCACAAGGAATTCATTGTAGAAAATTTGAAAAATGCAGAGAAGCAAAAAGAATGAGACCAAAAATCTAAGGAATCCCAACATGAACATTCAGAGGTGTTTTCTGTTCCTCTCAAAAATATTCATGTATACATACCTTTTTAAAATAAAATCGAGTCATGATAAACATCCTATAAAAATTTTAATAGTATCGGGTGAACCAGTAGCCTGAGAGGCCACAGCCCCGCAGCACCACTCCTTTAAGGGTCTCTCCAGTCCGCTCTCCACCCACCCCGACCCCATCACACACTCACACTCTCACATACCACTCATGCATTCACTCACACACCCACACATGCACACCCACGTGCACTCACACAAACATACACACGCTCACATACCCCCCCACACTCACACGTAATCTCACTACACTCACACACATATACACTCGCCCATAAGCGTGTGCACACGTGCATGCGTGCACACACACACACACACACACACACTCATTCCATCATCCTGGCAACTCCGAGGCAGGAGGAGTCCTCCTGTGCCAGACCAGAGAGGAAAACCAAGGCCCCGGGAAAAGCAGCTCCAGATGTGCACGGAGCCTACAGCTGGGCAGCCCGCGGCCCGGGAGGCCTGCAGGGTGGGCCTGGGGAGGCGCGGCGGGGTCCTCACTCTGGCCCAGAGCCCCGCCTCCTCTTGCCCACCCTCTGGGAGCTCGGGGCAGCGGGGGACACCCCTCACCACGTGGGTGGGGGCACGGTGGGGGCAGCTGAGACCCAGACCTGCCGCAGGCAGATTCCTCAGGGCGGGCGGAGGAGGATGGGCAGTCAGGACCAGACAAGGAAGATGCCGCTCTCCCCACACCCACCTCCCGCCCGGGCCGCCCCCGAGGCCTCGGCGGAGCTCCGGGGGAGGGAAAGGCTGCGGCAAGGGCCCAGTGTTCTGCCTCCACGCCAGCTGGGAACACTGGGAATCTCCTTCCACCCCCACCTGCTTCCATTTCCAATGGTCTGCCTGAGGCCCCAGCCCACCACCAGCCCCAGGCTGGAAGGTCTTGCACTGGGATGCCCCCAGGAAGAGTCTCTTTCGGAGGCCGTGGGAGGTGCGGGTCAGACTTACAAAGAAGAGCAAGTTGAAGAGGAAGAGGAAGTACTTGGTGACTTTGATGCAAGCTGACCCCATCCTGTTGGTCCTGGAGCTTCCTGGGGACAGGAGAGAAGGCAGGTTGGTCAGTGCTGGGCAGGACCTGGGCTGGGGGGAGGAGAGGGAACAGATGCTGACAGACACCCCAGAGCCACTGACCCTCAATCACCCCCGCCCACCCTCGCCACCTCACAAGGTAGGTGCTGATGACGTCAGGTCCTATTACAGGGGACCCTGAGGCCGAGAGGTTAGATGACCAACCCAAAGCCACGCTGAGGTGGGGTGAGGGTGTGGGTGGCAGTTAGGGTCTGGCTCAGCCACTCCACCAGGGCCAGGGCCTACAGGAAAGTTATGAATGATAACCCTCAGGCTCCCTGAGGTCAGAAAACCGAGAATGACTAACGGCCAGCCTTCAGGCCCCATGGGGCCAAGGGAGCCAGCAATGGCAGCTGGGGCTGAGACAGCTGGCCTGGGACAGCTGCAGGGGCTGAGCTGGCCTGGGGGTGGGGAAGTAGGCACCAGACCTTATTCCCACTGCCCCGTGGAGGGTGGGGAGAAGCAGGCCACGGAGCAGAGGGGACAGGGGGCCCGAGGCATGCGCGTCATCCCTTCTTCCTCCTGCAAGGGTGAAAGGTTATCCTGAGCCTTGTGACTCCCCCATCCACGTGGAGGTCCCCTCACCCTGGTCTAATCCATCATTGTTGCCAAATGGGAGCTCAGCTTCAATTTTCTACACCTCCAGGGACCGGGGTAGAGGAGTTAAGGGGGGAGATTCAAGCACAACATGGAACAAACCCATCCGAGGAAGGAAAAGATGACCTGGGTGATAGTGAGTGTCCTATCCCAAGTGGCATGCAAGCAACATCCGAATAACAACTTACGGGAATTCAAGTGCTGCACTGGGAGATTAGACTGAACACTCCTCCAGGCTACCAGGGTCCAAGGCCTGGGTCTGAGAAATGTGGGACCAACAGTGACTCAGAGCCAGGGAAGTCCAGCCTCGGTAACTCCACCTGGGGCCTCCCCCAGGCCCAGAAGGGGAGAAAACAAGGGTTCCCCTCGTGTCAAGAGATCCAGAGATCTGAGATCCTGAAGCCAGGCCTGGCCCCAGGAAGGCCTGCTGGGGGTGTTCCCCATGAACGAGAGCTATTGTTTTCTCTCTCCCCTCCCAGGGCAGCGCCTGACAACCACAGGCACTTAGCAAACTGGCACAGAGCAAAACAGCAGGAGAAGAAAGAGCCTCTCGCCGAAGGAGGCGCGCTTCTCTTGCCCACCACGGCCCTGCTTCAATTTCCTGCCTGTGAAGGCAGAGGGGCTGCCCCAGGCTCAGCCCCAAGCCGCCTGTGGCTAAGTCATCCCTTCCCGAGAAGAACCCCACCACTTCGGGGAGTGGCGTTGCTGGCTGCATTCTTGTGAAACTGGAGGTGTGGAAGTGGTCAGTCCTTTGGCAATCGATGCCAGCCGGCACTGTTCAACAGGAAAAGGAGTTTCTGCCCTTTCTGGCTTCACATCCTCCGTTCAGGCCGGGTCTCCAGGGCAGCCTTGCAGGGTTGCAGGTGATCAGAAAGGGGCGATTTTTAGACACGGGTAACCACCTGGCCAGGGCTTCCCCAGTGGCTCAGCAGTAAAGAATCTACCTGCCAATGAAGGAGACTCGGGTTTGATCCCTGGGTCGGGAAGACCCCTTTGGAGAAGGAAAGGGCAATCTACTGCAGTATTCTTGCCCTGGAAATTCCATGGACAGTCCATAGGGCCGCCGAATAGTCAGACATGGCTGAGTGACTAAACAAAAACCACCCGCTGGCCTCCCCCAGGCACAGCACAGACTCCGGGCAGCTGTCGGTGTGTGTCATCCCTTTAGTCCTCACCACCTGCCCAGAAGGTGTGGCGGGTCTTCCTCTCCAGCGGGGGCTGGGGGCAGGGGGAGGCAAGTGAAGCAACTCATCCGAGTCACAGAGATCCTTAAGCAGTGGTATGGTATTTAAGCCATAGAACTACCATATTCCACTCTATTTGATGAGCATGGTATTGCTTTTTATTGATTTTTATAAGGTGGCACTAGTGGTAAAGAAGGGCTTCCCTGATAGCTCAGTTGGTAAAGAATCTGCCTGCAATGCAGGAGACCCTGGTTCAATTCCTCCATTAGGAAGATCCACTGGAGAAGGGAAAGGCTACCCACTCCAGTATTCTTGGCTTTCCTGGGGGCTCAACTGGTAAAGAATCCCCCTGCAATATGGGAGACCTGGGTTTGATCCCTGGATTGGGAAGATTCCCTGGAGAAGGGAAAGGCTACCCACTCTAGTAACTGGCCTGGAGAATTCCATGGACTGTATAGTCCATGGGGTCACAAAGAGTTGGACAGACTGAGCGACTTTCACTTTCACTTTTGGTCTTCCCTGTAGCTCAAATGGCAGTTTGCCTGCAACTCAGGAGACCCAGGTTCAATCCCAGGGTCGGGAAGATCCTCTGGAGAAGGAAATGGCAAGCCACTCCAGTATTCTTGACTGGAGAATCCTATGGACAGAGGAGCCTGGTGGGCTACGGTCCATGGGGTTGCAGAGTCGGACACAACTGAAGCGACTGAGCACACACGATAGCTCCAGACCCAAGGACTGTGAAGTGCTGCCTCCCAGGAGTGGCCCTGACTGCAGAAAGGGGTCTCTGGGAATGGCTGGGGCTTCACTAAGTAGGTGGTGAGCACCAAGGCCACTGCTCAAAGGAGCTCTGGTTTGCAGGCAAGAAGGAGGCAGAGGCTACTCGGCTGGGATTCTCTGATACCACAAGCAACCTCGCTGGTCTCTCTTCACGCACTCAAATTATACTAGGGGTTCAGCAAAGTAAGCCCTTCAGCATCCTATGAGCAAACTGGAGCTCAGAGGGGTGAAGTAGCTTGCCCAAGGTCATGGGTCAATGGACCAGCAAGGACAGAACCCAGGCCTCCTGGCCCCTGAGACCACCTCCTCCTCTCCAGGAGGCAGCTGGATGGATTCAGATGCTTTTGAACAGGCAGCTGCATGATTGACAGGTAGGTTGGCCAATCAGGGAAAGCCCAAAGACTACCTGAGACTCATCTGAGAGAAGAGAAGGGGCTGAGAATTAGAGTCTGGGGTGATGGGTTGTTCCTGGACCTGTCGGCCGAGATCCAGGATACAGAGTGTTTCTGCCCCGCGAGTGCTGGCACTACCCCTTAGAGAAACAGGGAGCAGGAGATGAACACGTCGTCCATGCTGGGCAGAAGATGGGCGGTCCCAAGAAGGGCTGGAAGTCAGCTCAGGCTGGGGACACGCCCAGGTTGCCCCTGATACACGGCGACATCAACCTCAGTGAGACCACAACGACCACCAAGCCCCGAGGACACCCCAAAGTCGGAATCCGAGGGCCTGGGGTCACACTCTAGGGTCCTGAACCTCAGTCTCTTTATCCAAAAGGTAAGAATAAGGGTTGGCGTAAGGCAGGGAGTGGCCAGTTAGGGCCTGTGGATCAAATCCAACCCACCCTCTAGATGCTGTCGAGGTCACAAGCTAAGAACAGATTTTACATTTTCACGTAGTTAGGAAAGTAGAAAAGTCTCTCAGTCATGTCTGACTCTTTGTGACCCCTGGAAGTCTCCAAGCCAGAATACTGGAGTGGGTAGCCTTTCCCTTCTCCAGGGGATCTTCCCAACCCAGGGGTCAAACCCAGGTCTCCCACATTGCCGGGGGATTCTTTACCAGCTGGGCCACAAGGGAAGCCCCAAATCATATCTTCCCTGACCAGGAACCATTTTAAGTAGGTGGGAAGAAATAAAAAGAATATCTTGTAACAGACGAAATTCAAATAAAGTTGTCCTGGGATCCAGCTATGCCCACCCTTTAATGTATTTGCCCATGGTAGCTATCACAAGCAATGGCAAAGTGGACTGGTTGTGACAGAGACCACTGGCCTGCAAAGCCTGAAACATTCCCTGCCTGGCCTTTCATGGAAGTCTGCAGGCTCCTGGTGCAGGGGAGCAGATGGTACACACACAAGTGTCTGGAAGAGATGGCAAGAACCAGGACTGCTGATAGCTTGGGATCTTGGCGGAGAGCGAGCTGCGTGGCAGAAATTGAATAATCAGGAAGGAGAAGATGCAGGATCCCTAGAGAAGGGTTCAAACCCTCGTTCTGCCAATGCATGGTCAGAGAAGGGACTCCCAGGGTCTCGTTGCCCAGTGGAAGCCCGTGTTATAAAGAAAAGTGAGGTCAGTGCCTGGCACAGTCAGGGCTGGATGAGCTGGAGCTGGGGAAGCGTCTTCATCAGCACTTTCCCGAGAAGCGATGGGTTAGCGTTTCACTTGCACATGAAATTAGACAAAGAGGGAGGCTCTTGATGTTAGGCTTTCCTGTATACACTTTCTGTAAACACAAGAAGGTCTGCCCATGCTTCCCTATGAGGACGTCTTGACAGTCACAAAACAAGGGAAGGAGATGCAAGCCCATCTCTTTTGGAAAATTCCAGGGAACAGTCACAGATAGCTCTATGAGCAGCAGGAAGGAGCTGCTGACTTCATGGAATACTTTAGAGTAGGTGAACGGACCGTTTCTAAGCAACTTCGATTTAAATTGACCAGACATATAAATTCTATGCCAAATCAATCTGTGCAATGAAATTACTATACTACTGGTATTTTACTAACTCCGGCTCATCCTTCAACACTCACTTCAGACATCTACCTCCTCCAGGAAACCCACTCTGACCATCCTTGTCACCACCATCACCGCCACCCACTCCCCACTAACACAAAGGCTGGCTGGGAGCTCTCCCCCTCTGCTTCTTTCCAGCGGCACTGGCTTCTACAGCAGTTCCCACAACAGGCTCTGGCATCAGACTGCCTGGGTTTGAACGCTGTTCTATCACCTCCTGGCTGTGTGACCTTGGACAAGTGACTTAACCTCTCTGAACTTCACCTTGCTCATCTGTGAGAAGAAGAAACATATAACCCCTTTGGCAGATCTGCCCAGAGATTAAACTAGATAATGTGGGCAAAATGCCTGGCACAAAGGAGGCTTTCAATAAATGGAGTTTACTATTCTAACTCATG